AGAGAGAGAGAGAGAGAGAGAGAGAGAGAGAGAGAGAGAGAGAGGCAGAGAGATAGAGAGACAGACAGACAGACAGACAGACAGACAGGCAGACAGGCAGACAGAGAGGGGGAGAGAGGCAGGAGAACAGAGTGCGTAAGCGACAAGTCGAGAGGACCACCACCCCACCACTACAATCACACGCCGAGAGGACCGCTACAGACCACTATCACAAGCACCGCATTCTGAGCGAAAACCCAAACCAAAGCACCACCAATACATCGAGAGTGACCCGACCATGAGAACTACAACCCCGATACAAATACAACCGCAGCCCCTTCGCCACCACCGGCACCACTTACTCCGTTCACAAGTGCCGCCTGGAACACCGTGCCGGACGCGTAGCTCCCCTGCCACTGCGTCAGCCCAAGGTCAAGCATCACGAACGAGGGCATCACCACGACCCCACCCTTCCAACACTCCCCGTCCAACTCGCCCCCCGTTCGAACAGCACCTCCTAGGCCGAAGCCGGCCGCGGTCGAGCCAGAAGACTCGCCGCCGCCGCCGCGCCTGCGACTGCGCCGGCCGATAGAACCGCCCCGCGGATCCCCGTCACTGCGGTCACCTCCGGCACGAGAGTCCGTAGAATCGGTGCGGTTTCTGTCTCGGCTAGCGGCGTGTTCGCTAGCGGTTCGGGGCAATGCCGGGAGGGACCGGGGGTGGGTGGGTGTTATAAGATGTTAGTTGTCTGTCGGAATGGATAGGGGGGTCAGCGGGAGCGCAGAAGTGTTCCCAATAGTAGTCTTTGGATTTGATGTTTCAAGTTTTCCAACGAATACGGCTGTGGCTGTTTCTGTCCCTCTGTATTGTTCATGGCATCAACATGGATGGGTGATGACTGCGGCGCAAGTATTCTCGCACTTCGTAATTGTTCACTAGAGACGAGAAAGCCGGATGAAACAAAACATGGATAGAAATTCTTCCATACAAGCATCCTTGACAGCGTCGGGCAGGCCCGGAGCGAAACAACTATTATAGTAACGGTTTCCTTTTCACTTCGTGAGTTTCGACGAAAAACTCGCAGAAGAAGCCCAAATTTGTCAAGCACACACACATGTAGGGAAAATTGTGCTGCAAAAGTTAAGTGTTTTTTCCGACGCGAATGCGAAAACAAGGCATTTGCGTGGAGGATCCTACTTCCCTAGTTGGTGGTCGTTCTATTTGCAATCAAGACACAAGGCACAAGGGCTTTTTCTTGTACTAGATGTACAATACATGAAGGCCTGAGAACTGCTGCGAAACACACAGCAGCAGTCCTACATCTCGTGAAAAGAGGCCAAGTTACCTCTGTAACCGCGAACAAAACTAGTGCGGTCAGATTACTGCTGTTATGGCTGCTACTGATGGTGATCATAAGATTATTACTGCTGCTACTGCTGCTACCGCTGCTGTTTCGTTTACCCGCGTGCTTGCTGTTGCCTCCGCCTTCCCGATCGCTTGCCACCCCCGGAGCGCACCGACGACGCTTGAGAACCGCCGCCGCCGCCGCCGCCGCCGCTCTTACCGCCCTTGTTGACAGCATCGTCCTCCTTATCCCACGAAAAAGGAAGCGATATGATTCCCAGGCGAGCCAGGCCTGTGACAAGAGCGGAGAGCCCCTCCCTCGCTTCTCGAAACACACGGAGGGACCGCTTCATTCGCACGGCCTCCTTTCGAGTCAACTCCCTGGAGGGAGGAATAACGGTCCTTCGGTGTTTAGAGAACGGGTGGAAGAAACTTGCGTGCTAATGTGGCGAGGAGCTGGAAAGCATCAGTTCGTGATTCGTAGACGTAACCTTTGCAACATGAAAAGCCGCGGTCTCGCAGGAGTGTTCGGGCCTCCATTTTAGCGCTATGGCTGACAACGCAATCACCATCAAGCAATAACAGCGGCAACAGCAGCGGCAACAACAACAACATCAACAACAGAAACAACACCTCCGCCTGCCCGGTAGCTGCATGACGCTCTTCACAGCCGGGATGCGCTGCACCAGCACCTCGAGACGCGACAAGGCCTCGAAGGGGTCCTTGCCCATGTGGTGCAGGAAAGGGCGAACGTTCAACAGCGTTTCCTCGGATAGGCCCTTGGACCCCACTTCGGAAAACGCCTGCATACGGCAGGAGGACCACCAGGACGTCGTCTTTCGTTGCGCGTGTTTGCATGATTAGATTACTTCGCGAGGACGAAGAGGATACATACATGAAATGATGCGTGTTCGAAACGCTCTCGACGGTATGGCTCCTACGCCGCCGTTTCTTCTTCATTCGTGTGATTTTTCGAAATGGCACTTTCAAGCGACAACCATTTTTATTTTGGTTGCCTTTTTGAGCATAAAATGGGGTTTTGTTGTACCTTCGAAGAGCAGGTAAACGGTGCCGCTGGGCAGCATTTGGAAGGGGTCCGAGTGTTAAGACAACAACAATCAACGCAAAAATGTTAGTGTGGATGTGCGCGATGACATGCCTTCTCCTAAGCCAACAAAAAAAAATTGTAGGCAAAATTCAAGTGTTTTCTCGAGATGATGGCCTGCTTATGATTGGTTCAACTTCAGTGATGAAATTGGTTCTACCTCAGCGATGGAAAAAGAAGTACCAGAAGAGAAAATGACAAACGACTTTGTGGCGAACCGCTTGGGCTGTGCTCGTTTCTCCACCGATGCGGTATGCGTGAAAGGATAACTTCTCTAAGCCGCGGACGTGTGGTTGGGAGACGAGGAGAAACACGAGCTAACAGACAGAGAGAGCGGAGGCGAAAAAAACACTCGAGAATGGACATACTACCAACACGGAACAAAAAGCAACACCACAAACCGTACGACTGGACACACGAGAATATGAAAATAAAGACAACAGAAAAAAAATAAAAACACCAGGGGGGCATACAGACGAGATGGACTCTCGTCCCACATACCTTCGCCGCGGTCATGGAGCCCCTGGCTAGCTTGCCAAGCAGGCCGGTCACCTATGTAGCAGAAGTACAGCACAGCGAAGCAGAGCAGAGCAGAGCATAGCGTGGCATGTCCCGCGCAGCAGCCGGTGAACAACCAACGCTCAACAAGTCGATAGTATGCCCTTAGGTTAAAGAGTACGACTAATTTCAATTACACCAGAGGCTCTACACGCAAATCGTGAACTCAATTATTAGGCACAGGGTCCATTCGGCACATGGTAAGCTCTCCGGTACATCACGGTGTTGTTGTTTAATGTCAGTCATACTGCTGTTATGCTTCGACATAATGTCTGTTCATGCTTCGGCGACCCACAATAGGCTTGACGTCTTGAGGCACCCCGCATAGCTCCAAGATGGCCTGGGACATCTTCACGTGGCCGAGGCGGAGGAACCACGGCCCGAGAAAGCTTTCGAAAGTGCCCATCACCTGACGAACACAAAAAAAAACGACTTTTTGTTGTTGTTGTTGTTGAGGATAACGATGGTATGGTAGATCATTTTTATTGCTGCTGCTATCGTTGCTACTATAATAGCGGCTACTGCGGCTGCTTCTGCTGCTGTTGTTTTTGTTGTCTTGGTGCTAGGTTTTTTCGCTCTGGTCTGCCTCCACATTCCTTGTCAACCCACCTCAGACAGAAACGACACCAGATGCTAGCGGTTTCCTCTTGCCTCCACAAGTTCAAGAGATATCTGTCTCGGTGGCACTAAGCCAAAAGACGCACTATGCTTTGATTCACGTTGGCGCCGTGCCGAATCATTCGTCAACCACAGGCAAGATTGAAGGAGGCAACGAAGAATGGGCGGGACTGTCACAGGCCGGAGCAAGAGGTGCCATTCAGTTCAACACTCGCACTAAATAATCCTCGGTATGGACAACGACATTCGACAGCCACAACCGCCATGTCTCATACAAAAATAGAAACACAAAAAACACAGCGTTCTTATCAGAGGTATAGTCGTCAAAATTCCCACGAAACGACAAACCATAACAATGGCGTCACAGGACGTACAAACCGTTAATACTCCCACCGTACTGGTGAAAGCGCCACCAACACTATGCTCCGAAGACCTGGCCACACCAATAGATACATGAAACTTGACACGGCACTTAAGCATGGAAAATGACCAACACGGCTTGCTCCCCTCTACGAACGATGGCCGGAATTGTTAATCCCCTCGTAACCCAAATATTTTGAGTTTGTATTTAGGCAAAAACAGGCTCAACTACGCACCTGGGATATGACTAGAACAGCTTCCGCCTCGGCCACCTCGAACCGGCCCTCTCCGGAATCATGATGCCCTAACGCTGCACGAACACCTCTCCCATCACCGTCCAAACTTGTCGGAAGTCTCGCAGTGATGCCACTGTTGCCGTCGACGCCGCGGCTAGCTCCCCAATACGAAGCAGCAGCGGCAGAGGAGGAGTGGCCCGAGGATATGATGTCGAAGTCCGCCTCCCACGCCTCCACGCAGGAACGGTCCGAGGAATGGTCGTTTGATTCGCCGGCGCCCCCCGCGAGGAAGATACGGTCAATCTGGTACCGCTTTAGGCGGGTCACGCCGCTTCTCGCGACGAACCGGGCGAACGGCGAGGTCAGGTTCCCGGGCAGGGTGACCACCGCCCCCTTACGGTCAACTAGCCGCACCAGCCCCCTGGAGGCGGAAACGGGAGGCGCTAGAGATGGGGGAGGCTTGGGCCGAATAGTCGGGGGTGCTACCGGTGTGGCCCCGTGGGTCTCGAAGACTCGCCGCAATCCGTCGCAGACCAAGGCCACCGCCGGTGCCTCTGCGAGAGCGTGTGTTCGGGTGGGGGACCGAGAGGGGGAACACGCGGTCGGGTCATTGTTCGTTTGCAACCTTTGTTGCTGGTGTGGACGCTCGAGTGGAAGAATAGCGTTTGGCGCGGACAACTGGTTGTGCTCATTGATCGTTGCCATTGGTGTCCGAGGTCTGAACGGTTGCGACAACGGTCAGTGATATCCCTAGTGAGCAGTAGAATTACAGCAACAGCAACAGCGACAACAGTAACGACGACGGCGACGATTACAGCAACCACACAGAGCCGTGAATCCTCCTCACCTATCGGTATTCGAGCCGCCACGGTCTTGAGAGGCTCGTGGTCGTACCAGTGCTCCACATGCTCTGCCATTTCTTGGTCCAAGAGGGCCTTGACGACCACCTGAAACGTATCGCTCTCGGGGTTTCCCATCACCCGTAACGCCTCCCTGAAAACCAAAGAAATATGCGTCATTTGTTGCGAACATGTTGCGGACAGCTTTCTACATCAATGGTGGAGCTACCTCACGGAAGGCGCCCCCACAATTCTGTCTGCTCTTTTTCAAATGTAAAGTCATCGATAACCACAGAGGCTTTCCGGGCACCAGGGACGCAGTTCTAAGCGTGCCCGCTGTCGTTTCTCTTGACCGTTTAGTTTACCTCAGGAAGGAAGCCTCCACTTCTAACTTGGGTGGCAAGAGCGCGCTTGACAAGAGCTCTGCTGCCGTAGGTCTCGCGTCCGCGTCCGCCATCAACAGCCACCTGATCACCTGCAACGTGGAGATCATTGAGAAACTGTTACAAAGCCATTATTTGTGTCATCGCTGTCGTTGCCGTGGTTGTCGAGATGGCGGTCAAATAGCCGAAAGAAGCTGCAAAGCCAAACACAATGCGAATGAAGGACACGATCTATCACTAGCGAGCCTATCCATGTCAAACGGCTCGAAGCTAGAGCATCCGTATAGCCACGGCATAGCAGCAGCGGGCAGTATCGAGCATCATCGCCCACCAAGTCGTAGAAACAGGAGCAGCAGCAACCACCACAGAGCAAGCTGAGCACAACGGCGCAACACGTGACAGCCACAGCACGCCCAAAACAACGCCAGCGGTCCTTGACCTCTTTGGCACCCACTTGTTTAGCGTTGTTTGGGACTCTTTCTTCAAATGCTGGTGGAAACTCTACCCCCCCCGGGCTCCTGAGGGCCGTCATCACCTCGGCCCTCTCCATCAGAGTACTAAACCTGCACAGGTGTTTCATAATCAACGAACACGAGATAATATGAAGCCGTTTGGAATCAATTTCAACTTATCAACACGTACCCGAAATCAGGCAAAAAGAGTAGCTAGGGCGGTGGCATCTTCCATGATATAGGTGAGGGACCAAGCATGTGCCCATTTGGCGGCGTGTACGCAGAAGTATCCGTCTGCGATAATACATAAAAAAAATCCATCTCGAGCAGTGCCGTCGACCGATCCTCGCTTTCCTTGTCAAGAACAACATGGTCATTGTCGGGTTCTTGGTTGTAAAACGTACAAAATGCAGTCACCACCCCAACGCCGCCTCAAGGCAGTCACGCCTCATCAGGCCTGTGTGTTTCACCAGAACTTTGGGCACGTTGCGTGCCACAAGATTTCGGACGAACATGCAATAGCCATGGGGGTCCTTAGGTACTGGCACTTGAATAGTGCTGCTAACCGGTATTGTGCAGGTAACATGGCGTGCACTGTTGATAATGTTATATGTTCTGCATAAGCCGGGTGCCGGGTATAGTGCCGGTGAATCTGGCAGTCATCTGCCGGCACCATAGAGGGACTCCCACCGCATATCAACACAATCACGACGCTGAGGATTCGTGCGAGCACCGTCTGTCCAGACGTTGGCAACAACGGACGTCCCATCCCCCNCCCCCCCCCCGGTGTGTGCCATCGGGGTTGGGCTTTCGTCGCTTGGCAACGACGATGTAAGACAGGTCGATCGCTTCGTGAGCTCGACAACCAGGGTACTGTTATTTCTTGCCTTCGGTGTTTTGCGTTAACAATATTGGTGGTCGAGTAGATCATGTTGTGCGGGGTCGAGAAACCTCATTCCGTGAAAAGGGGATGATCACACCACGCTGTGCTAGTGGGCCAAGGACCCTCGAGGCAGTTACACCGTGCCAACAGCTCTCTGGAAGTGAAAGAACCCGAAAATAATTTAAGTCTTTCGCAGCTGTCTTCCGTATGCAAGAAAGTAAGCACAAGATGCCGAACACCCTTAGCAGGATGCACCACGCCCTCCATGCGACTCACCGAATACCTAACGGCGCTTCGCGCTTGGTGATGAGAGCCTGGTCCGGTGAGAACCCGGCGTGCTCCGTCCCGGCTTTGAAGGGGTGGGAGGTCCAACGACTACGGCATGCAAGACCCCTTTCCATCCCCCCTCCGATCAACGAAAATAATTCCCCCTCCAATCAACAGACAGAAGTGAACACTCCCTCCATTCTTCGTTCTGTCATCCATGTCTAGAGTACGCATACACACCTTGGAGCCAGCATCTCGAAGAGGATGACACCCAAGCTCCACATGTCCGCCTTGTGGTTGTACTGCCCGAAACTCGCACCCTGCTCCGGCGCGATGTACGGGCCTGCGGTTCACCGTCGCAAACGCGGATTGATCAACTAGACCATATCCTGCTGTCGTTCACAGCCTGCAGTCCCGCTTTCCCGCAGCAAAAACCTGCCTTCTGAAACGACCGGCTTCTCTTCGGTCTTACTGGCCGACCCCTCGACATCAAACTACGTGCCTTGACTGATGGACTGATACATATCATTTTGTACGGACCTGTCCCTACCCCGTCGGTGAGCTGGCTCGTATCGCTGAGGGGAAGCTCTAACTCCCCGAACACCGAAGGAAACGCCGAGCTCATCGACCCCGCCCCGTTGTAGTTGTCGTTGTTTGTCTTCCAACCTCCGTCGGCGTTGGTGCTGTCGTCGTCATCGTCGTCGTAGGGGGCTCCGCGATCCTGGGGGCGTTTCGGGGGGGGGGGCTGTCTCTTATACACATCTA